ATGGCGGGGGGGGGGCTCCTCTGGGGCAAAGGGAGCGGGACACTTTCTGCGGGTGGGGAGGGTGAGGGCAGGGAGTTTTTCCCCCCCTGAGCCTCGACTGAGCGAACGCTCTCCTCCGGCCCAATTTTCCTTTTTTCCCTGGTACGGCGCCCTCTCTTCTGGCGGAGAAAAGTTCAGGCTCCCCTCTCCCCTGGTCGCAAAGCGCCTTTCCACTGCCAGGCACTCAAGCTGGACGTCTCCCTTGCTTACTTTTCCCCCCAAGGTGGATTTTCTCTCCCCACCCCTCCAGGGCCTTCCTCTCCCTGCTCCAGGCCGAAAGTTGGGGTTTGTTCCCTGGAGAGCCCCAGGCTGAGCCTGCTGAGCAGCCCCGAAACCAGCTCTGGGTGACGGTGACGTGGCTCCTGGCTGGCCGGGGAGGAGAGGGAGGAGGAGGCGGAGGCGGGAATAACTGCGCTATTTTTCCCTTTTTCTTTTTTTTCCCTTCCCCTTTTCTCTTCCTCAACTTGTCTCAAGTTACATGCGGAAGTGTCGTTAAAGGGGAAAAGGCAGAGGGAAAGGGATCCCCATCCTCTGGCCTTGGGGACGCACCCTCCGGCGAGGGACAGGCTTTCCAGGGATGTTCCCCATGGGTGCATTAATTTCTGTCCTGCTCCCAGCTGGCAGCCTCCTGCCCTCTGCCCTTCCCGGCCCCGTCCCACCTCCAGCACCTTCTCCCTGGAGCAAACGAAGAAGCAGGGAGAGATCTGAATTATCGGGCTGCTGCGACTGTATGTCACATTCCACCCAGATCCCCTCCCTCCCGTGGCAGATCAGGCACAGCTGTTCCCCTGCGGCCCCCCACCAGCCACCCCCACTTTCGGGAGTCCTGTCTGGAGTGATGCAGATCCCAGAGCCCAGCCCCGGAGGAAAAAAAAAAAAGATACTTCCAAGAGGTGGTTTGAAAGAAACTTGGCTGAAAATATTAATCCTGGATTCCTGCAAGTGGATTACAAACAACGTAATATATGTGTTGCATGAAAGAAGCACATAGGTACCGCCATTTTTATAGATTTAACAGAAATGAGCTTAGTAGTGATAGTTACAAAGTTTTAATATATTCAGAAACAGCCTTGGGTGACCAGCCTGTTTGGGATAAATCTTGTCCTTGCAGCTGCAGTTATGCAGGGAGGTCTCATGGCAGTGCGAGCGGACCTCCGCATCGAGACGGGGCCATTAGACATTCATTATCTAATCACTAGTATAAAGCTGCTTTAATACAGCCAAATGGATGTTTTAATTTGTCACCTCGTCCCCAAGCAGATTGCATCCGGCTGTGGGTCTAATTTGGTTACTCAAGGGTTGCGTGACCCTGCCTGCTCTTGCCCCAGGACCAGCTCTGGCTGCCGCTGGCCCTGTCCCCAGCCGCCACCCGCGGCCGTCTCCTCCATGTCTCCCTCCATCGGCACGTCCTTATGGGCTCGCTTGGAGTAAAATCCTTAATGATTAAAGTGTAAAAATATTATTCCCGGTGCTTACGGAGAGGACTAACAAGTCCATTAGCATCACCAGATTCCTTTCTGAATACATTTGCATACATTTCCTCTCTGCCCATTAGGCTGGCTGCCGTGTTTTCCCTCTCTGCCGCTCCAGCACCTGCCGCACCGGGCTTTTCCAGCCGCGTTCCCAGGCTGGGCTGGAAAACACCCGCTTGGCCCCGTGAAACCCGGGAGGGCCCTGCCTGCCCCTGCCAGGGCATCGAGGCAGAGGTCGGGGCAGTGGGAGAAGAGCAGGTTAGACCAAAGGAGAGCGTCAGCAAAGGAGCAACGGGGTAGGGACTGGCTGAAATTGGGTTTCCCGCCATCAGAGCGGAGGTGCCTGGGGTTTCATCAGGGCTCTGCAAGGCCATGCAGGTGCTGGCGGAAGCCAAGCCCCAGCCCCGGTGGCCCAGCAGGTCCCTGGTGTCCCAGGTCCTTTCGCAGGCAGGCAGAGAGGGGTTTGAGCTGTGGAGCGGGGATGGGAGGTTTTGGGGGAACAGATTTAGGGTCCTCTATGCTGACAGATCCCCTTCCAAGCCCCTGGGGCTCAATGTCTGAGAGCCCTCGTCATCTTCCGGTCCCTCCGCTCCTTTTCACAGCTTCTTGTCCCACCCAGGGGATGAAACCTCCTGTGGAGGGGTAAGACTGTTGTGCGTGGCAAAGGTTTATTCTCTTCATCTTGCGCCTTCCCAAGAAGAGCTGATCGGCCCAAAGCCACAGCGTTATCTCCTGCTGTGGCACCAGGAACCACCACATGAGGCGACCGTCAGAGGGACTTCACAGGAGCAGCCCAGCCGAGCACACCCAGCTGGGACACAGTGGTGGGGCTGGGGTCTCCCCATGGGACATCCCCATGCGGCATGAGGGAGGGCCGTGGAAAGGCTGCCAGGAGGGCGAGGGGCGCATGGACGCTTAGAGAAGGAAAAACTGGCACATGAAGTGGGAGCAGGTAAAAATAAACCTTCCCTCCTCGCCACAACACGAAGCGCCTTGCACTGGGTGTCTCCCCGCCTCCCGAAATAATGCCGGGCGCTGCCACCGCCCTGCACGGTGATGCTCTCTCCATGCCTCCCGTTTCCATGGTGACCGCAAGGAATGTCGCCAGGGTGACAGGGAGGCGAGCGAGCTGGGATTTGGCATTAAAAACGGGAATTTGGGGTTGTTGGGTTTCTTTTTCTTTTTTTTTCCCCCTTTAGTTCTATTTTTGGGTTTCCCTCTCTGCCTTTGCTGATCTGGGAGGCTCCTTCTCCTGCAGAGCCCCTGGGCCAGGCGGCAGCAGCTCCGTCAAGGGCCCTTCCCCACCTCTGCCTGTTCTGCGAGGCGATGGCAATCGCACAAGAAGATGGGAGAAGGGGGTTTCCTCCTCACTAAAGCATTAGTTTCCTGCCACCAGGAAGGCTTCTGTGCTTTTGCCCCCAGAGGTGCTTGGTCAGGAGTCGCCCTCCGTTTCTGCTGCAGGCTGTGGCTCAGGCCGCATCCAGACCCCCTGGGAGGGCAGGCAGCCCCCAGGGTTCATCCCAGA